GAATGTCCACTGTGGGGGGCGTAGCAACAAATAAAGGCCAGGTTCACGCCATGTGATCTCAACCGAATAGCCATCATTCTACCACTTGTTTGTTGAACTGCATACAGAAATCGCTTCAACCTCTTGTGAGCGACAATTCCGACTCCGGCGTGTTCTTTGTGTGATTTGCCCGGTTGGATATCACTGCTGAAGAAATAAGACAAGTCCCCATGGGTTTCGACGCTAGAAGTATTAATCTGGATTTCTGTCAGCAGTAAAATATCCAGACTGCTCTTTCTCATAACATCACCGATAAGTTGTCTTTTGGTAATGCCATTCTGACCGATAAGCCCTCGAATCGAACGTTCAAAGTGGCTGCATTCAAGGGGATACCATATGGAAGACTGCGCCCATTGTTCTTATGTTTTCTGGGTGAAGTGTCCACTGGCTTACATGTCTCCATGTAAAACTCTTTAAACGCAGTTTTGGTTTCTTTCCGGAATGCTCGAGCACATCTGGTTTCCTGAGCCTTCCTAGGCCTGACCTTCCCATGAAAAGACTTGAAATATCTCCAAAGTCTTCGTTTTACCGCCCTCTTCCTATTCCTTCTTTTTTGTAACAAAACCTTTTTTGGGGGGGAAGGGCATTGGGGGTTTTCGCTCCCTGCAGAAACCCTACAAGGATCCCGGCACACCTTTTGAGGGTACAAAGGCTTACTAGATTTTCAAAATCGTTGTTTGTTATGGGCCCCAAACATCATCGGGTCATGCCGCGCCCTCTTCTATGTCCTGCTTTTGTTTTACCTAATTCCTTCTTATCTCCTACTTCCTTCTTTCCTATTTCCTTCTCTGCTAGTTCCATCCGTTCTAATTCCTTCACTTCGACTCTGGCTCTCTTGTATGGAGAGTGTAGTCAAGGTTCATCGTCATCATCATCATCGTCATCATCATCGGCTCTCTTCTCGCCCCACTTTGCCTCTCGCATGGTGTAGTTCTCCTCGTTTCCCTCAAGGAAGCGAATTTCATATGGGCAGCGCTTGTATTTGGGGTGTTTGGTCTTGCTGTTGGCTGGCTCCCATCCCTGTGTCCAGTTGTCATTGATGACGTCGAAGTAGTCGTTGTGGATGTAGAGGCGCATGTATATCGAATCCTCCTTGTCTCTCAGCAGTTTGAAAATCACGGCATTCTCTGCGACTTTCACTGCCAATTTATCCTGCCACTTCACCGCGATTTTGCTCCACGTGTTTGCTAAGTCGGATTTGCTTTCGGTGGTCAGAATGCGCAGCGCTGCTTTGATTGTAAGGTTGACTTCTCTTTCCATGTCACTGGTCTGGGGTGTGAAGCTGATTCTGCGCGCCTGGTTGCCTATTGCTTGTGTCCCAGATGGTGACTGGGCGTTGCTTGTTGTAGCGTTTGTATATGTATTGTTCAAAAGTGCGCTTTGCCCGTTCGCTGTTCCAGTGCATGATGGTGACTGGCGATCGTCGGTAGCTGCCATGCACGTATTTGCCGTGTGTTGCCGTGCGTTGGCTATCCACTCCAGCTTTTGGCAAGTACCACTTGATGACGTTGTCTCTCTCCTCGTCCGTGAACTCTTGCGGCCATCCTTTCGCCACTTTTTGTTTGGCTGCCTCTCTTTGTTCTTGGCTGTAGAGCGTCGTGGAGATGTTGGGTGAGGATGTCAACATCTCTCATGTCAATGCTCAAATCTTCGTTGCGCTGTTGAATTTCCTTGCTGTAGGTTTAGGATGTGTTGCTGCATCTCCTGCGCAAACGGTGGCTGCGGAGTGTTCTCCATAGTTTCTTTCATTTTGGCCATTGTTTCTTGGGCTTCTCGGATCTGCTCTGCCAACTGCTTGCTGAGGTCTGTTGCTCCACTGGGTGAAGCAGCTTCCTTTTGCGGCGTCTTTGCTTGCGTACTTCTTTCTTCTACGTTGGCCTGCTGAAGCATCCAGTGTGGCTCTTTTCCTTTGCGGTGTTCTTTTGCGTCGAAGGTCTTGTAGGTAGCAGGTGTAGCAGGAAACAGCTCCCGGGCGGTCTTTGGGCGGTCCTCCTCCTCGTATAACTCTTGCTCACCGTTCTCTTCACCGCTTTTCTTGGTCTTGGTTTGTCTTTCCATCGATGATGGTGTCTTGGCTTCTTTTTGTCCCTTCTTTGCTTCTGCCTCTACTTATATCTCCGGCGATCCCATCTTTCAGGGACGTTTCACTTCAACCTGGGCCTAATGGTTTGAGCCCCTAGGCACAACGCGCTCCTTGCGCCAATTGGCATATGGCTTTGACCTAACCCCTCTCTTGTCTCTTGAGCTTTTGCTTCACTCACCTAGCTTTTGGCGTTCAAGAGTTCCATTTTCTTGTTGCGATTGGGGATCTATGCGTAGACCTTTAGCCTAGACTTAGAGCCACTGCCTGAAATGCCGAGAAATGAACACGCCGCCCTCAGAATCCTTAGTCAACTCTAACTCTATTCCATTCACCAAGACTTTATCTACATCCATTGGGATCAAATGTAGTTCACATTCAAGGTCTTCATCTTTCTTGTCTTCTTCTCTCTGACCTTCTACCTCCTTCTCCGGTGGAGTAAGGGCAACCTCTTCGACTGCCTGCTTCACATCTTTCTTCCTTTCATCTCTGTCCTCAAGCTTCTCGTATCCTGGCGCAAAGAACCCCATAGCTGAAGGTTGTGGTGGAAGGAGTGACTGCACCACCATCAAAGAATTGCTCATCAAGTTCCTCCTCCTTCATCATGCTTTCGCAATATTATTCAGTTCAGGCGTTAGCCATCAACCTCCTCTTTTCACCAAATCAACTCTGGTGACTCTTCCACTTCTGGAATGACTGTAGGATCAACAAACCTTGAAGTCAATGAGCTTCCAACTAGCAGTCCATGCGCATTGAATCTCGAACCTGACTCCTTTTCCAAAGCTTCAGGTACTTGCACCCCCAAGCAGCTTTCATCTTTATCTCGAATGACTCTAATGCGGCCTTGAACTGTCAAAGAGCGATTTTGCAAGTTGAGTGGCACCTTCAAGTCACCCTTCTCCAACATTTGCTCTCTGCGATTATTCTGATTCACCTCTGAACTGAAGGTCACATTCTCTTTGAGAAGTACTTCACGTCCACCAAGGCCACGCAAGGAAATTTCAGCGCTGCGCGCACCGCGGTGGGGATACGGTCCCCTGCGCATCTTGTGGCTTGGGAATTGCGCTGAACTCTAGCTCACCTTCCCCATGATCTGCCATATTCAAAAGGTAAAACACTACATCAGCTCCACTGTTAACAATGATAGCCACATCCTCATTCTCTTCCCCAAGTCTCCTCACCATGGGTTCATCATCTGAGATGTCGATCACCTTGCAATCTTCCATCTCTGGCTCATCCTCACCATCTCCAATGTAGAAGTGAACTACTCGAATTCCATGATCTTCTACCTCGTCATCCTTTTCTCGCAAGTCAAAGATGATTGGCCCACGGTTCTCATTCTCCTGACCACTGTCACTGATGCTCCTCCTGCAGATGAATGGGCTGGATCACTTGCTACCTGTCGAACATTGTTCCTCCAGCAGTCTTTAGCAGGATGTCGTGGCTTTCCACAAGTGCAACATGTTGCCACACTTTTACCTTTCCGGTCTTTTCCTTTACCTTTGCCCTTGTGATCACCTTCTTTTCCTTTCTGATCTCCTTTTCCTTTCTTTCCCGCGCCCTTTCCATCTTTACCTTTGCCTTTCTGAAGGTCATTCTTGCCCTTCTTGCACCTTCCTTTGGCAACTTGGACTCGATCAATGTCCATTGGCATGGGTCCTTGATAGTCTGTACTGCTACTTGCCACCATGGAAGTAGCCCACTTCTGCTAAGAACGGATCCCATTGCAACACTTGTTCCCTCAAAGTTAGTAGTGAACATTGTCGCCAATTGCCAATTTCAAGTATGACTTGAGCTGTCCGCCTACACATCTCAAAAGAATAGCAGATTTCAACTCTTCTTGAACTGTCGTCCCTGTCGTGACCGTCTCGTCAAATACTTCTTCGAGCTTCAGAAGTTGAGGTTGTAGTGCACTGTTCAGTGAAAATGCTGGGACATGTAGTGGCTGCTCCCAAAAGCGCCAATCCTCTAGCCTTTTTCAGCTTTCGCAAATTGTAGTGCTCTTCCCCTCATCAGCGAAGCTAACAATCCATAGAGCTCAATACACCTGGTCTTTACCTCTGGAGTTGCCAAGTATCCTCCAAGTCCTTCATGTAAGCCTCATCAACTGCACTCAAATATTTCTCAAGTACCCATGACCACTCTCTAAGTGCTTTGATTTCTTCTTCTTGTTACTTGTAGTCAATTATGTTGGGCTTTGCAGTGGGGTTTGACCAATCAGTTGTTGATGACTTCTTGTCCTCAACTGCTTTCTTCACTGCCTCAGCTGCTGATGGTGTTGCTAGCGTACTCTGCGCTATAGTTTGAAGGATTCTCTGATCACTCCATCTCCACTGCGCACTAAGGTCTTTCTGACACAACATACGGGGTACAGAGTGTCGCTCACAATTGTTTATCACCAGTCCAAGCAAGCTGTTTGGGTTCCAAAGGCCCCAAATCGACCTGCGATTCCAGTGACCTAGGGGCTTCCCTGATCCTTGCTCCGCTACCATGCGAACTTTTTCCTGATGAACAAAAGGGCTGCAGTGAAGTCAGAATACTGTACATGCTATATACTATGATGTCCATGATGCTATACATCAAGGTAGTGATTCACACTGAAAATGTTTCACAATATATTATATATATATATATGCCATCGTGATAGCAATGATCATGAATCATGGATGGACCAAATTCTGCATCACCGGCAAAATAGTTTTTGTTGCGGAGGCATTTGCTTTGTGCAAATAAGAAGCGCAAGGGAATGCATTGGCTTTGCTTTGACACGAAATAGCATCGGGGCGCAAACATCATACAAATACAGACAACACAACAACTCAGCTACACAGTCTATGTAGTACGAGCAGAGCAAGGAGCTTTGTGTTTGATCTCCAAGTGCCTTCTCCTTCCTCTCTTTTAGCGCCTTTTCCAAAACTGGGCGGTCCTCAAACAAGCACAAAAAAGGAAGTTGTGTTTCTCCAAATCTTGTGTTATGGCAAGGTAGTTGTTTGGCCTTCAACATCTTTCTGCAGAAACTGAATCATGAACCATCTGGAACTGCCCCTACATTGAAAAGTGTGCATGGAGCCTTTTGGGCCCAAGCTTTTGCACCCGACCCGATCGATGATAAAAGGGAGACTCCTTGGAGCGAAGCCTGTCCAGCTCACTCCTCAGCTATGAAGGGCAATATTCAATTGTTAAATAAATACCACAAAAAAAAGTGTTCTATCCAATTTTTACACACAACTTGCTATACCACACAATAAACATCTCATGGGAGAGCCCTTCCCCTGATGTTGAGGCGTATGTAAAACGACAACAAGAGTGATTTGTGGAGCATTCTCTCCAGCTTCCATAAAAAAATACAAGATCTGCGCTTCACCAAGCATCTTCACGTCTTGCTTGGAGCTTTGGATGCTCTTCTCCGCTGTCTCGAGGTCCTGTTGCAGTTGGATACCATGAAAGCGCTCTCAAACCTAAGACCTATTCAGACTGCACTCTTTAATTTCGTCTAACGTAGTGGAGGATCTTGGTAAGGTAGTACTCTGAGAACTTGAGACTAGCTGTGTCTGTTTCGCCTGCGCGAGTGGTGTAAGCAGGACTCCCACCTTGATACAGTACATGCAGTGGAATGCTCGAAGCTCCGACGGCTGCGGGCTTGCACGCTACTGGATGTTCGGAAGCATTGCTTTGCTTTGGACTCTTTGGAACATGAACCAACTCAGCAAATCTCAACTGTCCTGCCATGTGCGATCAACACCCCGTCCTTCTGGGCTTTCTTGAACTCACGCTTGTCACTTTGCAGCTCTGCCTCTCACTTCATTTTAGGCTCAAATTTTGTTTCATACAAACATCAGAGGCAAAAAGAGAGCGCAACACAAACAAAATGATGCATATCAGCAGCTTGCATCGGCTGGGCATGGCTGGCCTCAGCAGCCTTCCTGGCTTTCTCGGCGATGAGTTTGTCATCACGAAGCTTGTTGAGCTCCTGCCACACTGCTTCGGGAACTGCTCAGCGGCTGGCAACAATATGTGTCAATGTCGACCTGTATGGCATATGGTACCCTCCCACACAACATCCCAAGTGTATTAGTATAAATCTATGCCCGTGGCTCTTCTTGCGTCAATTTAAGATTCATTGAACAGGTAGAGGCTGATGGTAAAAGCGCTTGATCCTTGAGTTTGGCATCCTTCTCTGAGCCTTTTGCTTTGTCATACCTCCAACTCAGTGGGATTGTCAACTTCGCAAAGGAGTGATCTGATTCAATTCTGTGTAATCTGTTTCGCACTTTTCTATGCATTGTTGGGCATAGAGACTTGAGAGGGTCACGCGTCCTTTGTGGACTTGATCTTTCCGTCCAAGTTCTGGATGTTGCCAATCATCTCCCGGTCTTTGTCCTGCAGAGTCGAAGAATCAAAGGGACAAGTGATGTTCAAAAATGGTTTTGCCTTCCAGGTGCGACTCTTTCTCAAAATGCCAGTGTCTGTGTGTGTGTGTGCGTGCAAGAGCAACTATGCCTTAAGGTTTACTTGTGGACATCAAGATTCAGCTTGCGGTGCCTCAGCCTGCTTGGCCTTCTGCTTGATGGTTTGCAGAGCCTTGTCCATGTGATGTCATCGAGGTCTTCTGGAATGTCCAGCTCTTTTGTTTGTCTTTATAGATCGGATTAGTTTTTACTGCAAATGCGTTTTAGCATCCTACTAAGCCAAAGGTACATCTCCTACTAAACACAAGGTACATCCTTGATCTGTAGCATCCTTCTCTTCCTTGCCTTGTCAAACTTTGCCTTGGCCTGAATACGCGCCTCGGATGACTGGGCAAGGACCTCAGCTGAAACAGAGACTTTGAGAAACATCACTCTTGGAGAATGTAGAAGGTTCAAGCTGGTCTGACAATTGCGCTGGGGTTGCGGCAACATCTGGCAGCTTGGATATTTTGGCCTTGGGCACTGTGTCAGTCTTGTCTTAGTGCGCATATCGGACACTCTGCCCTCAGCAGCTATGTGCATAAGCTACACAGTACGTTATTGACTGCCGCTTCATCAAGCATTGAGAAATGAGGCTGCGATGAGGAAGTGATCGCCCGTAGAACAATACAGTGTGAATTTGCGTTCACCGTACTCAAATTGTATGGGTGCGGCCAAAAGTGGCTGCACAAGAAATAGAATCAACAGAATGTGTATATATGCACCAAGTGACATAATGTGCAAGATTGAGTGCTTTTGTGGCACAAAAGTGAGTCGACTGACCCAGCAAGAGACATGGGCCATGGAAAGAGATATGCGAATCTTTTCTTGATCCAAAAGGGGCTGTATTCAGGTCAACTGTACAGTCTATGGTGTCGATGATGCTACATATCTTTACTGTGGTTTGTACTGAAAATTCTTCACACTCCTTCTTGGTAGTGTGAGCGGTCGAATTGCTACTTTGAGTTCACTCTGCTATAGTCCATGTTCTTTCATCATTTCTCTGCAGGCTTTCTCGTTTCTCTAAGGAACGGGGTTCCCAGAGGTTCTCGGTACTGGTCTATCTGGGTTGTCCCTTCTCATAACTGCACATTCTAACAACTCTTGGTATCTTTCCATTTCCTTTTCAACTTGACCTGCCTCTTCGTCTCGGCCTCTTCCAGTTGGGTTCCATGAGTTGTTGAAGCTTTCCCTCCAGTCGACCACACATTTGGCTTGCCTGCTCTACCTCATACTCTTCTCTCATTGATGGCTCTCTCTTGATAGCGTCGATATTGTCCTTCTGTCGCTTGCATATCTTGTAAGCTCCTTCTGGCTAAGAAATTTCCGGCATTCATCTCTCCCAGAACATCATAACTGATGACTGTACGAAGATCTTGTATTTCTAACAAAACCTCCATTGAGATCAAACCACAATGAACTCTCCGGCCAAAGTTGCGCAGAATGGTTATTCTCTCTTCATTGTCCTCACACTCAGCAATGTCAAACCTTCGGAATTTGAGTTCTGCTTCTTCTGCCCTGAAATGAGTAGTTTCCACCGCGGTGTAATAGCTGATCTCAAAGTGCTTCTAGAGCTTGAGTAGTACAAAGATCACTGCTGCAAAAACAAATGATGTTGATCACAATGATCACAATAACCAAAATTTCCACTTTTCATTGGATTCTTTCAATTCATCCAATCCACACTGGGCGTTTCCTTTCTCGCCATTGGCTGCAAGCCCTCCAATGCTACCATACTCACAATCGTCTTTGCAATCTTGTTGACCTTTCCTGCAAAGTTCATTTCTCTTCAAACACCTTTCTCTCCCGCACTCCTACTCTTGTCTGCTCTTCACTGCGCCAATACCCCATGAGGCTCATCAAGTATCTGGTTCTTTGTCCTCCAAGTGACTTGGTATTGATGTCTGCCGTGTTGCTATCTATTGATACTTCTACCATCTTGAAGTCTTTCCTGTTCTGAATCCATAACAACTTTCCGTCCAAGTGTCTCACCTTTCCAACTCCTCTCTTCGTCACAAGTTGGCGCATGTAAAGAATCTGTGAAGATACGATGGTCTGCCTGTGTCCCGAGCGCAAACTCATGCGCTGGAGAAACTACTGCGCGCAACTCTGCTTCACATGAATATAGGCTAATGACCTTTTGAACAATGGACAACTGCTCAATGCGCGAAATCCTCCTGACGTTGACTTTCTGTGACTTTTGTTTCCACTCCAGTCTGAATCAGAGAGCGTTTCCAAGCATCAATAGCTTTCTCCTTCTTCACATCGCCTTCTCCTGCTTGTAGAAGTTCAACTACTAGTCCATAGTCTTCTTCAAGTATCCTCGGAACTTCCTTCGTATGGTTAAATGACATAGCTGTTGGGTTTGACATTCTTGAAGCCAATTCCTTCACTGTACGTGCTACATCATACCTCTCTTGGCATAGGTAGATACCTGATCCAACAATGTTTCTGAATAGGCTAACCTTCTTTTGGCCACGCAAAACGTCTGATTTGTCTTCCATCTGAATTGAGTTGTCTAATGGTACTTGTTGGAGTTTGATCTTACCAATCTGCTCGTCATAGGCTTTCAGCATCTGCTGGGTGTAGGCCCGTAGTCCATCTTTCTCTAGTTTGTACTTTCTCCTCATAGATGTCGAACTCATCACCTATCTTCTCAATTTTGCTCACACTGGTATCAAACCTGTCCTGAATCTTTGGAAGAAAGATTTCATTAACGCACTTTGAACAGAACAACCTGCGAAAATCAAGTAATCCACACGGGTCAAAATGATGCTCTGTTCATTTCTTCCTAGACATGGACACTCAGCACTGAACTTGTACTTGAGTTCCTCGGTGAGGCACTCTGTGAAAAGTCAAACCATGCTTTCCCTCCAACTCATTGTCCAGGTAAATTTCTCTTGACCAAGAATTCTTCTCCTCTCAAGTTCACTTTCAACGGCTTCTCTTGTGGAACCATCTAGCAAGATGCTCCTTCTCCCTCTCTTGCTTCCTCCTCCTCCTCCTCACTGACCCTCGGGATGGGCATCTGTCTACCCATTCTTCTGGACAAGGTCCATTCACTTCATCTTCTTCTGGCTCTCTCTTCTTCAAGCAATTCAAATACTTCCCTTGGTCTTGATGGCGCTGATGGTGATCTCAATGAAGATAGTATAGGAATAACTGGATTAGGTTGTCCTGAATCACTTCCTCCTTCAAGAGTTTTTGCCATAACTGCTTCTGCATCTTCATCCTTGAACTCCAACATCACACGCTCTCAGGGAATGTCTGTCTGCGCAGCTGGTAACGCTTCTGCTCTCCTCTTTGCGGCAACGATTCTGCCTCTTAATGTTGTCTGGAATTCCCATGAACATGCATTGAAGCTTTAGTATTTGGTCCAATGTTGATCTGTTCTTCTGATGCGTTTGCTTAGCACTACCTGCACTCCATCTGTAAGCACATAGGTATCTCGTCTTTCAACCTTTCCCAAGAACAAGCATAGACGCCATCTCGCTGCTCCTTTGTTGAGGCTCTTGGTGTAACCATGAACTGGTTCACCATATTCTGCTAGGAGTCCTCTGTAACTTTTGCCATAGATAGGAAGTTGCACCCTTCACTGGCTGAAATCTATTCAGCGCCCAACTGGCATCTCTTGCTGCCCAGTCCAAAGTGCATGATCTGGCCCTATCTTGATACCAAGTCTTGACTGCACACCTTCAATGAAACTTCCTGCAAGCTCTCTCACTCTGTCAACTGTGTTCTCTGACAGGATCTCCAAGCTTTGAAGTAAGCAATCTTGTAGTGAGTCCTAAACTGTGGCGAGCATTGATCGTTCATTGTCACTCCTGTAGGTGATTGCTGAATACCCCAACAATTGATTGAAACTCATCAGTTCTTGCACAATCGCACAATGAGACGAGATTGGCCTTGCGTCCTCATCATGGCACAACATGAATGAATCAAGTCTGACTGTCAATTGCAACTAGCCAACATACTGCCCTTGCTGACTTTGTTTCTCAGTCTCTTGCTCTTGCACAGCAAAAGTCAAATCTTACCTCGGGAATACTTCCTCTCTTTACTCCACGTTCTCTCATGGCGGCCTGGGCGCGGTCGATGTGCAATCCACTCCTTCCACCAATTGGCATACGCGTCAACCTGCGCCTTGCCTGAGTGGCTTCAAGCCACACTTTGACCTAATGCCTCTTGTGTCTCTTCAGCTTTTGCTTCACTCACCAAGCTTTTGCACTCAAAAGTTCCATTCTCTTGTTGCGAATGGGGATCTTTGCGTAGACCTTAGAGCCACTGCCTGAAATGCCGAGAAATGAACACGCCGCCCTCAAAGTTGCCAAAGAAGAAAGAACCCGTAGTCAACTCCAACTCTATTCCACTCACCAAGGCTTTATCTACATCCATTGGGCTCAATTGTAGTTCACATTCAAGGTCTTCATCTTTCTCCTTCTCCGGTGGAGTAGGGGCAATCTCTTCGATTGCCTGCTCCACTTCTTTCTTCCTTTCCTCCCAGTTCTCAAGCTTCTTGTATCCTAGCGCAAAGAATCCCATATCTTTTAGCGGCGCTGGCTCATGGCTGAAGGTTGCGATTGAAGGAATGACTGCACCATCATCTGGAATGACTGTGGGATCCACATACCTGCAAGTCAACTAGCTTCCAACCAGTAGCCCATGCTCATTGAGTCTCCAAACTGATTCCGTTTCCAAAGCTTCAGGTACTTGCACCTCCGAGCAGCATCTTCATCTCTAGTGACTCTAGTGCGGCGTTGAACTGTCAAAGAGCGATTTTGCAAGTTGAGCGGCACCTTCAAGTCACCATTCTCCAACGTTTGCGCTCTGCTATTGGTTCCCCAACACGTTTCGCTCCTCCTGCAGGAATGGGATTTCCTTGAGCATCTTGTAGCTGGGTCTTTGTACAGAATTCTGCTTCTCCTTCTCCATGATCTGCAATACTCAAAAGGCAAAACACTACATCAGCTCCACTGAAATTATGATGGCCACATCCTCATCTCTTGCCCACATCTCCTCACCATGGGTTCATCATCTCTCACCATGGTTTCCGTCTCTGGTCCACCATCATCATCTCAGAGAAGTGAATCACTCGAGTTCCATGATCTTCTACTTCATCATCTCTTTCTCGCAAGTCCAAGATGATTGGCTCACTGTCATCAATTCCTGAGCACTGGCTTGGTCTCTACTGAACTACTCTGGCGGCGGCTGACATTTGCAACTGTATGAGTAGTCACTGATGCTCCTCCTGGAGATGAATGGGCTGGATCACCTGCAACCTGTCGAAAATTGTTCCTCCAACAATCTCGAGCAAGATGCCCTGCTTTCCTCAAGTGCAACACGTTGCCACACCTTTACCTTTCTGGTCCTTTCCTTTACCTTTGCCCTTCTGATCACCTTCTTTTCCTTTCTGATCTCCTTTTCCTTTCTTTCCTTGGCCTTTGGCATCCTTACTTTTGCCCTTTCGATGGTCATTCTTGCCCGTCTTACCTTTTCCTTTGCCATCTTGGACTCTATCAATGTCCATTGGCATAGGTCCTTGATAGTCTGCACTGATACTTGCACCATTCAATTAGCCCATTTCTGCTGAAAACGACCCCAGCGCAACACTTGAACATTGTCGCTAATTGTCAAACTCAAGTATGATTTGAGCTGTCCGCCTACACATCTCAGAAGAATAGCAGATATCAACTCTTCTTGAATTGTCGTCCCTGTTACTTCTTCAAGCTTCAGAAGGCTGCCCCCAAGAGTGCTAATCCTCCTGCCTTTGAAGTAGGTTTCGAAGGTTTGTTCAAACTCCTCCAGGCATCAATCCATTGGAGTCCTCCACAGCTTTCACCAATTGCAGCGCTGCTTTCTTCACTGCCTCGCCTGCTGGTGTTGTTGCTAGCGTACTCTGTGTCATAATAGCTTGAAGGATTTCTCTGATCTCCTCCATCTCCACTGCGGACTAATGTCCTTCTGACACAACGTATGGGGTACAGAGCGTCGCTCACAACAATTTATCACCAGTCCAGCTGTTTGGGTTCCAAAGGCCTCAAATCTATGGCTCGAAATCGCACGGGCTTTTCTCTGGAGCTCAAAGGGGGGTTACCCTTATCCTTGGCTCCGCTACCATGCGAATCTTTTCTTGATCCAAAAAGGGCTGTAATCAGGCCAACTGCACCAGTCTATGGTGTCAATGATGCTACATATCTTTACTGTGGTTTGTACTGAAAATGTTTCACAATATATTATATTACAGTATATATAATGATATAGTCCAAAAGCAATATATAAAGAAATGTGAGGGATGGTGTGACACGAATTGAAACGCGAGGGCTGCCAAATGAAGTCCTTACAGTAAAAGAACGGAGATGGAACGAATGTGAAGGCATGGCGAGGTGAAACTATGGGATGCAAAGGCTGCAGAGCTTGTTGCACTCCTTGCACATAAAGAGTAGTATTTATCAAGTATCGCGGCTCAAAATCAATCTTCTTTGGACGACCTAATGACAATAAGATAAACAAAACGTTGCTTCATCCGCCTTCTCTTTGTCCTCCTCCTTCTTCTTCTTTGCTTCTGCTTCCTTCTTTTTGGCTTCCTCTTCCGCCTTCTTTTTAGCCTCCTCTGCCTTTCGCTCTTCCTCAGCGGCCTTCTTCTGCGCTTCAGCCTGCGCCCGAGCCTTCTCTGCCTCTTCCTTCTTTTTGGC